ACCACTAGAGACATGTCGGGAATGCCCTTGATCACTATATTTAGTCCTTAGGTTTTGGTGATTGGTATTCTGATGAATTTCAGGAAGGATTCTGTGTGCAATGGGTTGGGTTTCTATGGGTTATTGCCAGCACTCTGGTTTCATGAAGGGTACTATGCAACACGTAACCTGTGTGTTTCAGGTTTACTTCTGCAGGGGTAATGTTTATTTTTAGGCATTTGCTTTTGGAACATAGTCGGGGGGTGGTGTGGTAATAGCTTGATCATCATGCATAGGTTTTATCTATCTTCTGGGAGTCCTTAAGTGCCCAATCACAAAGAAGATATTGACCATAAACTGAAAATCATAGTTCTGATATTCCTTTTATCACTGGTGTTTCAGTACACTAAGTGATGGTTGCCTACCACAAATGTGTTTGGCAAGTGCTGCACAGATTTCGCCCCACCTCATTTCAATTTTTTTTTGTTTAAACTCATAATGTTACTGGATCAGCACATTTGATTTGATTTACTTACTTGATTTGATTTATTTTATTTATTGTCACCTGTGAAGGAAATCTGGGACCACCATCATCGCTGCCACGCCCTAATTTGGAGTTTCCGATAATGTCATAACCACGGATCAGAGTACTAAATTACTGTGGGCATTTTCAACTTGAAATCCAAAAACATATCTTGTGAAAAGGGGTTGATACAGCCAACAGTTGCCGTGAATGTAAATTAAGCGGCTGTGTGAAGTAAGAGACCCACAAAATATTTCACCTGTGGATGTGAGGGGAACTTCATACAACAGCCCTTCAGATGTTGGGTGGGGTGGGGGGCGACGGAGAGAGGGTAACTCAAAACTGACTGGATTGTGATTCTTGTGACTGCAAAAGTGGGGTTGACAGCCCCTTGCTCATTAGCAAGTCATTCCCATCGGGATTATGTCCCAAACTGCAGACACGTTTTATGTACTTTTCTTCAAAGAATTCACAAGAAGTTGAAAAAAAAGCCAGTTTCAACTCTTTTGGAACATGCCAGTGGTGTTGAAAGTTCTAACGTGTACCAGCCTAGGTTTGAGTGTAAGTATGCTGTGAAGGTCACAGTCAATGAAATATCCTCCAGCCACCTCGTTACAAGGTAAAGGAACTATCTCACTCAGTGCTAGAAGTCCACTAGCTAACAACCAGAAAGAAGGAAACAGGACAAGAAAATGACTTATTCTCTCTCTCATCCTGAATGCTGGATTTCATTCCTCGTCAAAAGGAATCAAGGCTACTGAATCTCAAACAAATCTGCAAAACGAAAGATCACGTTCAACTATCAATGTCAATTCTACCTGAAACCTCCACTTAAACAGCCACAATGATCAGCTGTTCGCTCTTCACAAACAATTCCGAGGCTAATCAGTATAACCTTCTTTTTCACCTTGATCACTTTGGAATTACCTGTTATTTCTAACCCGCATTTAGTGCTTTGTGTTACTATTTCTTCTTGCATTTAGTAATTGATAAACTCGTTATTTTTTGTTACTTCAAGGAAGCCTGGTTAAACAGTAAATTTAAATTGTAAGTTAATTTGGGCATGTAAGAAAGCATCCAGGGGAAAGGGATAACAAGGTGTAGAGCTGGATGAACACAGCAGGCCAAGCAGCATCAGAGGAGCAGGAACCATTTTTAAAATAACCCTTTTGTGACCGACTGAGTGGTGAAGGAAGGGGAAATAATTATCCCGCCTCATCCCGGAGCTTAAGTATTTGGGGTATCTAGCTTGGAAGTGTAATAAATTGGAGAACCTTCTCTGGGGTCTGGGTGTAAAACTAAGCTCATGGGCACAAAACTTTGGTCCAAAATAGTGTTTCCATCTTCTTCATTCATACAAATGTTGTATACTCTTCCGGTGGTGACCCCGGCCTGACCTGTGTAATTTTGGGCTTTTTAAAGTCTATGTGTACTTTGGGCTGAAGCTTTACAAATGCAAGAACGTATTTTACTTTTTCTCAAGTCACACCATAAACTCCGTGTGGTCTTTAGGGTCAATGAAGTATTCTGTTTTAGATTCAACATGTAACTGCAGCTGATCATTGATATATTAAACTTCTGTCCATTTCCATGCTTAGTTTGACTGCTTGTTCACACGTATTCTCTAAATATATCAGGTGAACTTTTTGCTCTCCTTCTTAACGAATGCCCATGTACTTGACCATGTCAACTGTTCAGTAAAACAATATTTTTGCTCTCTATGTTTTCTGGAATTCTGAAAGTTTTAATTCATCAACAGCCACAATCTAAATTTCTGCACAATGATCTTGCCTAAAAATATCAATTAGCACCAAAGGTCATACAAATTAGTTAAATAAACTTTACACAATCAGATCATAATATTAGGTTGACTATTTTACAGAATAGCTCAAATCAATGTTTTTGGAAAGTCGATTCCCTCACTAATAGCAACCTCTCAGGATCAGTTATGTCCTAAGCATTTTAATATTGACCAATTTAAAACTGTCACAAAGGGGGTAGATGACCAGACTGCACACTATAACCTAAAATATTCAGTTTGCTTAATAAAATGTGTGTGGCTGGGAGGGGTGGTTTGGATTGATAACGATAGATACTGATAAAGGAGGAGGTGGTTTAAACCTTGTACCTGTGGGGCAACTATAAAAGATGCCTATGTCCTTAAATGATGTCGCTAGTTGCTTAATAGCACGTTTTTCTGAATTGGAAAACTTGAAGCGTCCTGTAGCATTTGGCAGTTGTCGAAAAGTGTCAGTCACCTCTGGCCTTCCAAGACAATAGAGAGTGTACTTTGAATTTAAAAACAGCCAAAATGTCAGATATTTCTCTGATGATATCATTTTCCCTGGACCAAATTGATGGGAAACCACGAAGACACCAGAAAGCGGTGAGGACGTGTTTGACATAGTCAACAAAATAGAGAAAGAATTTATTTACACTGCGGTTAAATAAATATTCGAAACATGGGCTAAACTCTCGATTGGTATTTCCAACAGTTTCCCTAAAACAATATTTATTTATTACTGTTGGTAGAAAAAAACCCTTGATAATCCATACCTAAATGTATTGATTATGTTAAACGTTAACATTTAGTTTAACAAATTAATATTGAATATTGATCGATTTTAAATCGATGGTTATATTTGAGCCAGCCTTGTCACAGTAAGTAACATACTCTAAAAAAGGTCGTCGATGTAAACGGGATCCTAAAAATTGCTCATAAAATCGTTCTTTGTACGGAAAAGAAGCGCGTTGTATACTGTTGCTAAGGTTCTTATTGTTTTCTCTCGCGGTTTTTGTGTTCGAAGGTCAGCCTTTCTGTGAGGCTCTTTCAGTAGCTTCGCTGTATTGGGGTGAGATAATTAGATCAGTGCTATCAGTTTCACTGTCCTTTTTCTCGCTACTATTTACATGAGAAAGGAAGTTTATGCTGGTTGCAGTTTTCCTTCAAATGCTCCACTTTCTCCAACAGTGAGTGATTCAGTACATCACCTTGCCATGTCCTGGCAAGGATACCCAGACTCTTGGGAAAAACAAATCGCTGCTTTCTCCAAAATAGAGCTGTTTACATAATGTTATCATCCTAAGGAGAGTGTCCACTGGGTATGTCATACCCGTCGGGTGATTAGATCACATTTACAAGATTTCGCCCAATACCCAACAGAAAATGAGCATTAAAAACGACAGTAACGGCACTTTAACATCGAGCACATGGCATGCCATTGCTGCATTTTCCATCTTTTACAGTATTTCGTATAAGTTGAAAATTAAACTAAAAAAGAAAACGTTTAAGGTCGAATTTCTTTCTGCCAGATTGAGCTCGAACTGGACATTTCCTTTAATTTAATAGCTCCAGAAGCTTTTTCAGTTAAATCGACTGTTCATTATTTAGCACCATTTACGAAGCTGTGTGGTGAGTTTTAATGAATCCTTGGCACAAAGCGTCCTTTCAGACGAGGGAAGAATAGACTCTATTTAAACCCTTACGGTTGTACGTCAAAGGCTAACCATAATACTTGTCAAGCTGGGAAAAATTCCCACTGATATGGGAATGTGTATTTTGAGCCTGCAGCTAAGGAATCGACTCTTAAGAAATAGCAAGTATGCAGACTTCCAATCTGCAACACAGTAGCACCTGCTGAAGGTAACAGCGTGCAAGATGCCACCACTTGATACGGTCTCGAGTACTGACCAAGCCTTTCTGATAAACTTGGAATCGAATGTTCTCATTCCCCGGAATACTGTTTGCTGAAATTTATTTAAAGTGGTCCATGACAATAATAAAACTCCCTCTCCTGAACTCTGCACTGTATACCAAATGGAAGAGGAGGTTATTTTAAATGTACTTTACGAGTTCCTTTTATGCCACATTATGATCTGGTTTACAATAATTATTCGTTAACATAATCATTAGACACATTTGGCACCGTTACGATACTTTCAATGAATAGAAATTTGCTGTCAATTGCATCAAAGGTGTGCTGTGGTTTTAGAAGTTCGTTTAAAACTGAACACACCCTACTATTGTAGTTTGGGAGAATTTATGAGATAAGGTATGTACTGGGCGAATTTCAAGAAAGTATAGTGAGGGGGAGCGATTCAAGATAGACTGACAAAATATTGAAATCTTCATAGATTATCAACTCCCCAACCCCGCCTTAAAGCATTGAAGAGTAATTTAGAATACGGAGGCATCCAAAATTAATATTGTACATATAAAGCCAATCTATTTCGACTAGGGCCGCTTTATTTTCTCTGCTCCCGAGGCTGAAGTTTGGTGGTGCTGAACTTTATACTGAAGTAATGAAGTGCTTCTTCAAACCGTGTCCAACCTCCTTAAGCTGTACGATTTAATGAATTCACAGCTCTATAATAGGATCTGAGTCGCTTTTGACTCACTGATTCGAGTGACGGGAAACGGATATTCTTTGCAGCCGGAGCCTATAGCGAAGCACATTCATTAAAACACTGTTCACAGGGTTGGGGCGGGGACGACTGAAACCATGCGATGATGTATTGCCCAGCTTCTTTGCAGCAATCCTTAAGGGAGTGAACGGCGGGCTGGATTGAAGCTGGAGAGAGCGCGGCGGTTTCCCAAGGATTTGCCTGTGCTTTTGCCTCTCCGGGCCTCGGGCTGAAGTGGGAGCGAGTGCATGCTCACATTGGAGCACTTTCCCGAAGCGCTTCCTGGAGGATGAGCTGGAAAACCTAACGGCGAGAACGACTGGGCCACTGCTAACACCGGGAGCCAAAGGGCGCGGGAGATGGCTGTGCAGGCTGCCATCATGAATCCTCACTTCATCCATTTCTGCTTCCCCGGTTCCTCGGTGGAGTACGAGGTGGAGAGTGCTTACAGCGGGGCCCTGCTGGGGGAGATGGGGAGCTCCGGGGAGCTGAAGGAAACCACCAGCGCCCTCCTAAACTTCATCGACTCAGCCTCCAGCAACATCAAGCTGGCTTTAGACAAGCCCGTCAAATCCAAGCGGAAAGTCAACCACAGAAAGTATTTGCAGAAACAGATTAAGAGGTGCACCGGGATGATCTCCGGCGGCGGCACTAGTGCAGGAGCCGGCCAAGAGGCAGGCAATAAGAGACAAGTGTCTCCAGCCTCTTCCTCCTCGTCTAGCGGCGGCAGCAGCAGCACAGGCCATTTCCAGTGCAAGCCGCCGCCAAAGAAGGATGGCTCGCAGTCAAGCCTCCAAAGCAAGTCCCTGGCGGCCCTCTTTGACTCGGTCCGGGATCTCCGGCGATCGGCGGCCGGTGACCGGGCCCTGGTGGCGGCGGCGGCGGCCGGGAGCAGCAGGAAGATCCCGCTGAGGAACCGCAACTTGCCGCCGTCTTTCTTCACCGAGCCGGCCAACGTGAAGATCACCTCGACCTCCGGGATGTCCCTTAAGGACCTGGAGAGGGGTAACCCCGAGGCTGCCGAGTTCTTCGAACTGCTCGGGCCGGATTACAGCAACATGATCTCTGGGCAGGAGCCCTTCCTGGGCTCGGCTCTGCGGATCCAGCAGGAAGGCAACTGCGAGCTCGCCTCGTACGATTCATACCGCAGCCTGGGCTCCCTGAGCGGCAGCTTCCCCCACTTCCCGGAGCCCTGGCTCCCCTGCAGTGCCGCCAAGAAGAGCCCCACAAGCGGCTGCAACCTCGCCGTTACCGAAGGGGCCCGGACACTGCCCGTACAGACACCGTTATATCCCAACAACCAGGCCGCAAACTCTTCACCCATGGAGGAGTCTCCCGTCAATTTAGCCAGCTTCCCGCAGTTTTTCCCGGAATGTTCACTCCCACAGGTCCCGTACGAATATAGCCCGGGATATAACTGCAGCAGACAAAACTTCCCGACTCTTTAATAATTCCCTTTTCGAGTCACTACTTAACCACGCAAAGACTCTTGAACTGGGCTCCGTTGTATTTGACCAGTATTACAGGTGAACTGTTCAGGTAGAGAGATCGGTAAAAGGCCCTTTCTTGTACTTTCCAACAAGAATCCGCAATGTGCATTCACTCGAGCTATACCTGACTTTATAATTAAGGCACAATTCACTTTCGACGAAGATGACACTTTCCCACTGTGTTTTACACCGAGGGGACCAGCTGAAAGCGAGTATCCTGGTTGCTAACATTTTTTTAGGGCAAACACAATGGCTGGTTATGATTCTGTATTAGTTTTGACTACGAAATCGTGTAAAGTATAAGCAGGCGTGCTGTAATGGGGTATGAAGCTTGTGCTGAAGTGCAAAAAGGGCCCTTTCAACTTCCAATGTTGCATGAAAGTCGAAAAGAAAAATCATCTTTTACTTCAAGTTTGGCGCCGTCTTTCAAACGGTGTTTAGATGCAATTGCACTTTGTGAATTGAAAGATTTGAGTAAATCTGTATTGATTCGGCGAACAGTTCTGTACGTGACAACGGACGACAAGTCCCGCACTGCCAGTACACAAACATAACAATAAGGTATATTGTAGTCAAAAAAATCTGTTTAAAAAACGATATAATTTTGAACGTGTACACCAAAACATCGGGAAGCTAAACACAACCTGCTGAGTTAGCTTAATGGATACTAAGGAAATGCGACACGGTTAACATTGAACCATAATTGCATTTGGTTTTGGAAGAAATAAACGTTTCTAGATTTTGTTTTGTATAGTTATGAAAAGCCGACTGTGTTAATGTCAAACATCCGCATTAACCGTCAGTGTTTTGTTTGGTCTATGTCTCGGTTTCCATTTTATAAATCTAAATTCCTGGCACCCTGCTGCCAACAATATTAGTTTGCCGATGTTATCTTTGTTCAGTCCCCAAAGAGACAAACAACTCTGTCAAGAATTGTTCACCAGGATATTCATCTTGTCCTAGTACCTGCTGTGATTTGGTTTTAGTGTCTTTTTTTTTAGAAATCCCTCATCTGTGTTATATCGCGCGAAAGGTACTAATTCCAGCTACGTCTCGAGTGAAAGGTCAACAGACAAAATAAAGCTGGTCTTTATTTTTGGAATCATCTGGTCTGGTTTGAAGTTTGTTTTCTTTTCCCCAGGGGTGGGGGTGGGCGGCGGAGGATGTGGAGAAAAGTCAGAAGAGACTCAACGAAGTGACAAACCTGGCAGTGAAATTATAATTCTCCACGTTTCCCAGGCACTGCTCTGGATTATCCAACAAGCAACCTTACCGCAGGTCAAGTAACATTCACTAATCAATTTGCCCAAATTCAGCTTCTTCAATATTTTTGTTTATAATGTGTTCTCTCCTTTTTGTGGTGTGATCCTAATTAAATAACAAAATGCATTTACGTTTATCTTTGCGGGGGGGGGGGGAGGTGGGAAGAAAAACAAACCTCACGTGCGTACATTGACCCACAAAGACTAATCAAGTACTCTGAACTCATTGTTGGTGACTTTGTAAAGTTAGGTAGGAGTTGACCACTAACACAGCTGGTTTTCTGCATAAGTCATGTCTCTTCACCAGCTAAAACAAAACAAAATCAAAAGTAAAGACTAATCACTGAAATATCGCCATATGTCCATAAAATAACCTAAAATCCCATTTGTGGCTAAATACGAAATTTTGAAAGATAATTTTAGACATCATAAAATTTCAAATATTTGTGATACTGAACAGAAGTTAGACTGAGAAAAAGTCAAGTCAAATCTCTATTTGGCTTCATGTCAATGATTCGATTTTTCTTTGTTTAATGGAAAGGAACACGAATTTGGTTTCTTGGATGTCTCACTTTTGCAGCAAACAGTCCATGCAAGATGTTGCAGAACATTACTGACATTGGTGCAATACTGCTGTTTATTTAAAAAATTTCATTCTTTTACTTTTATTCTTTCTTTTACGATATCTTCATTCTTTTACTAATTTTCTCCTTTGCCATACTTTTAAACTTCATCAATTATACCTCGAAATCCAAAATGCATCAGTGGGTGATTGGCATCACCTTGAACAGTGACATGTCCTTACATGTTTAAAACTTATTTAACAGTTTCATTTTGTACTTTCTGAAGAACTGTTTTAATCAACGAACTATACTTGAGGATTTTTCTGTCTTTAGGAATGTTCATTTAAAGAAATTGGGCTTTTCATGGGAAATCCACATTATTCACCACCATTAGTATCCAAACAGAAGGTATTTTAAATTGCTGACACATTCTGGACAAATCCCCAGTGTTCTGTTAATGAGTAGTGCTTGCTACAAAACATCTTCCAATGCCCTCTGTAATGTGTTGTAAAGTCAGTACTTTCCTTGGTGTAGTTGCTTCCAAGTCACTATAGCTTTTCAAGTGCTGCTGAATGTTGCTATCTAAATTTAATATTACAGCATTCTGAAAAAATAGATTTGCAATGGGAATAAAATGTTTACCAGGCAACGTGGCATATGGTGAATGAATGACATTAAATTCCCACGTAATGCAAATGAAATTAATTGTAAGGAAGCAGTGAATAACTGGCATTTTCCCAGACAATGCAGTTGTTACAGCAAAGAGAAGCATCCCCCTCTCGCATACCGAACCATGCTACACTATTTTTGTTTTAGTTTCATCTGAGTTTTCAGGTTTTGTTAAAAAAAAACTTGAACTTCATTTTTGGAAAGGTGGCTTTGAGTTCTTCTGTTTATTTACAAATACTGATTTATTTCTAAGAATGTACGTGAGTTTAAAACACTGGAAATCTTAACAATAATAACACCTTCTACCAATAGCAAAATGTTCAGGATTACCGCAAATTGCATCTCTGCCAATATTATATCAGAACAGAGCTCATGAATTGGATTGAGGTTAGCTTTAATGAGATTCAAGTCCAGAAAATAATTTTCTATCAGTGCCAAAAAGGTTAACAGCAGGCATACAGAAATTATTAAAATGAAAGGAATGGTGAGACCAAGCCTTGAATGAGTACCTAAAAGAAGACGATATGAGATTTAGTTTATCCGATTAATAATTGCCTCTTGTTAATACAGAAAAAAAAACTCTTCTTCCTCTGAATGCCTGTGCTTGGGCAAGTCATAACTTGATAAATCCCAAATTCCTTTGGAACATCATGACTCTGATGTTGACATCAGCAACTTCATCTATCTATTCATCATTACCTTCACTAGAGCAATGTTATTTTTGGAGAACAAGCTAAAATGTTTGCACATTAATCTTGCAAGAAACTGCCAAAGCGATCCTTAATTTTTATTACTCCTTGTTAAGTTTCTATTAGTCAGCATACACACCCTCATGTCACCCGCAATCCTAAAATACATTTCTCTATTCGTTCTAATTGCAGTAAGTGCATTTCGATCAACTCCTACTTTATTCCTGTATCCCTATAGGATATCTAAAAGACCTTTCATCCACCTGGCCTCCCCACTTTGATTTTAAAGTTCTTTTTCCTCTAACCATCTGCCTGGGCATTCTCCCATTTCAAATCAGCAATGAGTGTCTGGAATGTAGTGTGGCGATTGGAAGGCAACGTTAATATTTAAATGCTATGTGCGAGTGCAGGACAGAAAAAGCTGTCAGGAGTTCATCTGTGTTTTGTGGCTAGGCATTTAGAGAATTTGTATCATCTGAATGGAAATCAACCAAAAGGAAAACTCAAGGGAGAGGCTAAGACCCAAGTATAAGCTGGCTCTACTTTTATCCATAAACCAGGGAATAAATTTATGCTGTAATAAAACTCAAAGGTAATTTTGGTTAATTACTTTTATTCCTTTCATTTCTTATTGTTACTCTGCATCCAGATGCCCTAAACTATTATTTTTCCCTTTGGTGGCTCCAGGAAGGAACCTCCAAGGTATTTATTTCTATAGTTTACTTTCTAATTTTAGTGCAGAAAGTGCATCCAATAAACATATACATCAGATTCACAATCAATATTTTATGTCTTCAATTTTCAATTTGAACTTCTTGTCCAGATGTAGGTACTCAAACAAAGCGCTATTGAGTAACAATGTCTGACCTTTGTGGGAACCGGTGTTTGATTAATTTATTGGCATTCTTTGAAGAAGTAACAAGCAGGGCAGATAATGGAGAACTAATAGATGTATTGTATCTGGATTTCCAACAGGCCTTCAATAAGGTGGCACATAAATAGGCTCTACCAAAGAAGAGCTCATTGTGTTGAGTAGATATTAACTTGCGTAAAGGATTAGTTAGCTAACATGAAATACAGTCTATTAATTGATCATTTTTGGTTTGCCAATCTTTAGCTAGTAGAGTGGGTCAGGGATCACAGGTGGAGCCTCAACTATTTAAAATCTATGTTAATTGCTTGGATGAATGGACTGAGTGTATAACTGTTAAATTTGCAAACACATAGAGAGTTAGGAAATCAAGTTGTGAAGAAGCCAGAAAAGGAATACAGATAAGGTGAATGAATGGACAAACATTTGGCAGATGAACTTACTATGAAAAAATATGAGCTTGTTATCTTCAGCTAGAAAAGTAGAATATTACTTAAGTGGAGGGAGATTGCAAAAATCTGTGGTACAGATGTGTGTTGTTATATACAAATCACAAGAATACAGGAACAGTGAGTGAATTGAACGCAAATAGAATGCTGGTCTGAAATGTAAGGGGGACAGACAATAAAAGATGAGAAGTCTTGATATAATTGTACAGGGGTTGGTAAGTCTCCATCAAAGGTTCAGTTGGCTGATTCCTTGGATTGTCCGGTAAGGTATGTTTGAGCAGGTTAATTAGTTGTTTGATACATGAAAAGCGATCTTCTTGAAATGCATGGTGGGGTGGGGGGGGAGTTCAACTAAGTGTATGCTGGAAGGATGATTCCCCTTCTTAAAACTAGGGCATACAGTTTAAAATTATGGGGTTACCCATTTAAGTCAGATAGTGAACAGGAATTTCTTCTCTCAGAGAGTTATTAGACTTTGAAATTCTTAAGCCCAGAGAGCAGAGGATGCTAGGGCATTGAATACGTTTAAGGCTGACTTAGACAAATTTTTGATGAGGAAAGCAGGAAAATTGAGTGAAAATTGCATTCAGACCTGCCACGATCTTATTAATTACTGGAGCAGCCAAATGTCTTGATTCTAAATCTTTCTCCTATGATATTTTGATCTGTCACTGTTTTGCCTGTTGTATACTAACAATTTTTAATGCCTTATTAATTTTGTGACATTTGGAATGCCTCTATACAATAGACATCCAGTGCTAGTACATATGCCACTATATCACAAAAAAGGCCCAAAATTATGGAATGGGTTGGGAAATAAACGGATAGGTTTACATTAGTGGAGGCGCCACTTTGATAAGCCCAGCAATTAAAAAAAAAATTCTGAGGCACTCTGCCTGATAAATGGTGGCATTTATCATCATTCATTGTCTGACAGCAATAACCATTTCTCAAAAGGGAATAATAACACTGGGATCTTGCCACAAAATTTGAAACTTAGTTGATCCCAGAAACTTTGAGAGTTTCAGTGACAGACCAGACAACTCTGTTGGCAATCTATGTTAGTATGTCAGGAGAACTGTGCATTACTCATCAGTTTTATAAACTGAAGAATCTTAACCCACAGCAACTGAAGCAAATGGGGAGAGGATGCTGTTAAACTTGATTCAGTAGACTTATTTTCACTAGGCTTTTCCTGGGCGTTCTGCCATTCACTAAAATCAGGAGTAGCTCATCTCTACTTTTATGAAAGAAAGACAAAAGTTTGCCAATGGTTCCCAGTTGTCAAAGGATGTGTTACCCTACAATCTGTAATGCCATGGCATAGCATATCTCCTAGTGTATCATTACCCACCAAGTCAAGGGTTCAGTCTGGTTCAATGAAGAGTGCAGGAGGGAATGCTAAGAGGAGCACCAAGAATACTTAAAATTGAAGCTACAACAGAGGAGTATTTGTATGCTGAAAGCAGTATCAGCAAGCGATACACAGAGCTAAACTATACTATAAAAGAAATGCTTGATGATGGTGGACAATTCAACAACTCACTGGAAGAGCAGACTCAGTAAATATCCCCATCGTTGATGATGGGGTTGCCCAGC